ATGTAGTCTCCTCTGATGTAAGGCTTGTAACCACTGTGCTTATGAGTAACCTCATTCTCTACAAAGTCTCCCTCCTTTCTTACCCCAAAATAGAGGGGTAGCGGTGCCTTACATTGTGGGTTGAATGTCCCCAAAGTTCATGTGTTAGAAACTTGATCCCCAATATGCCAGTATTAGAAGGTGGGGTCTAGTAAGAGGTGATTAGGTCTTCAGGGTTCTGCATCATGACTGATCAATGTTATTGCAAGAGTGGGTATAAAAATGAATTCAGCTTCTTGTTCTCTTGCTCTTTCTTGAACTACCACCTAATTCCATGGGATGATGTAACACATAGTCCTTCCCCAAGTTGCTGGTATCTTCATCTTATCTTTATTAGCCTCAAGAAATCGAAGGCAAATTTCTGTTCATTATAAATTACCCAATGTATGATGATTCTGTTACAGCGATGCAAATCTTCAAAAGGGACCAAGACAGGGAAAACAACCAGGTTTCCCTCCTGGCCTTCACTGATATGGCATGGATGAGGGCTCATTACCAGCTACCTGAGATGCAAGTTTCATTTCTATACTTGACCTTCTGTTACATCAGTCTGGCAGGGATGCTAGGTCTTTCTTGTTTATAGTATACCAAGAGTGGAAGTCTAGGCTCTTAACTTAGGCTTTGCTCCTGTGGGTGTGGGTATGGGTATGGACACATCTTTTTTTTCTCCCTATTGATGTTTGGCTGTAGTAGAATAGTTGTCTAGAAAGGTTTTGTCTTAATGGGCTTACCCTTTTCTCTCATCTTTTGGCTAGGAAACACAGGCATTTATTGGATGTTTCTATGCCCTTGTTGGTCTGAGTTTCTGGGTTGCTAACTTCTTTAGCTACCTGATCCTTTGGTTTCTGGTGCTCATCATTCTTAATCTGGACTTGTCAGCCCCTTAATGAACATTTCAGACCATCTGTGACTTCTTCAGCATATCTTTCACACTTACGCTAGCATTTTCTTTATAGAAAGCAAATGAGATTGTATTAACCTCCGTTTAATGTTTAATGTTCAAAGTTCTTTATTGTCTGTAAAATAAAACTCAAATTCTTTTTTTTTTTTTTGGTCGTGGGACCTGAACGCTGGGCCTGGACGCTGTCTCTCAGCTCTTAAGCTCAAGTCTAGTGCTCTACTACTTGAGCCACAATGCCTCTCTGGCTTTTTCTACTTATGTGGTGCTGGGGAATCGAACCCAGGGCCTTATGCATGTGAGGCAAGCACTCTACCACTGAGCTACCTTCCCAGCACCGAAGTTTAAACTCTTTAAGGTACTATAGATCCTCCAATATCCAATTCCAACTTCATCTTTCCTGTTTCAGCTTCCTTTGAGCCACTCTGTATACCTCAGTGCTCCACGGGTGCTATGTATTCATGCCCTTCTTTCTATCTCCAGCCCTTTTCTTTACTCTGGGTAGAGATAGGTTAAAAGACAAGATACTCAGCTAGGCACTGGTGGCTCATGCCTGTAATCCTAGCTACTCAGGAGGCTGAGATCTGAGGATAGCTGTTCAAAGCCAGGCCAGGCAGCAAAGTTTGTGATACTCTTATCTCCAATTAACCACCAGAAAACCCAAAGTGGCACTGTGGCTCAAGTGGTAGAACGCTCACCTCGAGTTGAAGAGCTGAGGGACAACTCCTAGGCCCAGATATCAAGCCCCACAACTACCACCACCAACAAAAAAGACAAGACACTGGAATAGTGCTTCTTATGTTTAAATCACATCTCCAGTGTTTTATAGCTTAATAACATCAGGTCTTTATCAATTTCTTATCTAGAAAAATAAGAGCTATAACAAGCCTAGTGGGAGATTTAAATATTCCTCACAAAGCATTCAGCAAACTGAGTAGTTGGAGAAAGTTTCAGTAAATGCGAACTGTTAACATAATTAGTAATGGATTTAGTACTCAGTAGTTCAACTTTCAAGTTGAGTGTTATCTCTGTCTATGGAATCTTTATGAGTTCTCCCCATTGCTACTCCATTATTAGAGTTAATTACTCTTTCCCAACTTCTCCTGTACCACTTAATTTACATTGCCTCATTCTGTTTTCGTTGTAGGAAACTGGACTGCAAATCTCACTGACCACATTATTCATTTCTAGGTTCACTTATTCAAAGGAAGCACTTACTATGAATCAGGCACTGGGCACATAAATGAGTAAAATGTGGACCTTCCTTCAGGTCATCCTCAGCCTTTTGCTAGCAGTAGTTTGATAAACTAAATTAGAGCTAGTGAGATTTAATGAGTATTTATTGACTTAGGAAAAGTAGGTCTGCCTTGGGATAGGAAAGCAATCTGTTTCCAGGCCGCAAGGCATCAAGCCAAGAATGCCATTTTTTTTTTTTTTTTTTTTGTTCGGTCGTGGGGCCTGAACTCTGGGCCTGGGTGCTGTCCCTCAGCTCTTCAGCTCAAGGCTAGTGCTCTACCACTTGAGCCACAGTGCCACTTCCGGCTTTTTTCTTACGTGGTGCTGAGGAATCGAACCCAGGGCCTCAAGCATGTAAGGCAAGTGCTCTACCACTGAGCCACCTTCCCAGCGCAAGAATGCCAATTTTTGTAGGCCAAGAATTAAATGATGGAGGCAATGGCTAGAAGAAGTATACGTTTGTATGGTTGATTGTGAAGGAAAGGAGAGTGAGTACCAAGAAACTACAGAGGAATTAAAGGATGTTTGTAATAGATAAAATGATCAGAATGAAATATAGTTCAAGAAAGAATAAGAAAATAGTTGATCAAGAAAAACATACCAAACAGGGCACTGGTGGCTCCTAGCTACTCAGGAGGCTGAGATCTGAGGATCGTGGTTCAAAGCCAGACCTGGCAGGAAAGTCTGTGAGACTCTTATCTCCAATAAACCACTCAGAAAACCGGAAGCAGTGCTGTGGCTCAAGTGGTAGAGTGCTAGCCTTGAGCTGAAGAGCTGAGGGACAGCTCCTAGGCCGAGAGTTCAAGCCCCACAACTGACAAAAGCAAAGAAAGAAAGAAAGAAAGAAAAACATACCTACGTGCATGTATCCATTCTTCCACTTAACTTTTTATATAGGAGCTGGAAATCAATTTAAACAAAGAAAAGAAAAAAGGAATGTATCATTGATGGAACCATGTTCTGTAGAAGCAGGAAATGATGTGATGAACAGCACAGGTGACAGCTCCTTAGAGACAAGATGGAAGAAGGCCAAGATACTATGGAAGAGTTCATGTAGATGGCCTCTTTTTTTTTTTTCAGGGAAGCTGGGAGGTTAGAGAGTAGGAGGGTGGAGAAATAAGCTTCAGAAAAAAGAGCTGTGGTATACTTTCTCTAGGAAATGAAGAAGTAAAGAGATGAGATGTCAGAGATACGCATAGGATCAAGTGCCACAACTGGTTGTCTTTACACACCAAACATCTGCAATGATGCAAGTACAAATGGTATTTTTTTTTAGAAGCACTTAGCCTGGAGAGCAGGCAGGTGAGGGTAGAATAGTTTGGGAGTTAAAGCTGGAGAGGGCAGAAGTGTTCTGGCGAAAAAAGGGAGTGTTGAAGTATTTATACCCAGGCTGTGTGTGTCGGGAAGGGGGGGAAGGGGGGAGGGGAGAAGTGAGCCTAGATGAGAATGGTAATTCTGAGTGAGTTTAGAGGTTGAGAAGTCATTGGGAAGTTGGAGAGCACATCTGCTTTGATTCTAGATGTGTGAGAAATTGGACAGAAGTTTCTGATTAGAGAGTGGGAGTTCTGAGCATGAGTCCTTCCTCCAAAAGTTGCTGGACCATCAGCTCTGACACTCATGGTCGGACACTTGGAATGAAGAGAAAAATTAAGACAATCCTTGCCCGTGAGAGGTTCACAGCCCAGCCCTTGGGTGAAGTAGACTTTCTAGGTAATAACGGGCTCTACAATGTGTCCCTGGAAATGATTAGCTGCAGTGAGTTGGAAGAATGGAAGCCATTTGGTCCACAGGCAAGGGTGTTACATGAGTCTGTCATCTGTGTTGTTATCAGTCCTCTAGTAAAAATAATGCTTTCTATTTGCTTAGTTGTTTCTCTAGAACCGTGAGCATCTCTGCTTAGCCCTTATGCGGGAGCCATTTGCTCTTTGGGCTCTGAGTGACCATCCTGAAGGCAGTCCTCAATGGCTTTTATGAGTGTAGTGTGGCAGTTCAGAGATGTGCTTTCACTTGTGAGTGCATGAGTCTATTGAAAACTACTGATCTTGTACCTCAAGTTTCTCTTCCTTTTTGTCCTTAATTTCTTGACAGGAAAAGTGGAGATAGGAACGTGCTGCAAATCCTTTGTAATGCAATAGCAGCTCAGTATCAAGGAAGGTATCGACAGGCAGGAGTTAACTGCTGTAGGATAGACAAGGTGGTACGGTGACAATGGATGAGTGTGTGCACACAGAGCAGTGGTGTTTCATGCTCTAGGAGCTCTATGATCCATCTTGTTCTTCCTATACGCTCCTCAGTAAAATTGGGGGTAGAAAAGAGCTCCTGGCTACCCAGGAGAGGTCATCTGTAGAAGGAACAGGTTATGGGAAAGCACATGTCAGCATTTCCAAGGGTTTAGTGCCCACACAGAGCCGTGTGTAAGACATTATATCATAGTCCATCTGAGCATTGCTATCTGGGAACTGAATCCCCTCCCTTCCTGTTCCAGAGTGGTTGGCCTACAAACTCCATTGATGAAGAGCCAGACCAACAACATCCCATTCTAGCTGCGTTTGTGGGTTTTGGCTGATGAGTAGGAAGAGGAAGCGCATGTCTTTGTTCTCTTACCTCTTGCTTCCTTTCTGCTATGACCTTGGGAGGTTGGTTTTTCTGGCAGTCTAGTCCATGTTCCTGTAGCAATGGACTTTGTCTCTGAGGGGACTTGTCTTTCCAAGGATCCAGGTCCACACCACCCCTGCTGTCTGCTATGTTCCTGATGATATCAGACCTAAAATATGAGATGATCTCTCAGGTATGTGATGATTTTTGTGTCACCTCTTTTTTCTTTCAGAACCTGAGAAACCAACTGGCACCAACCAAGTTCAGAATTTTAGCTGGCTGAAACGAATATCATCAGAGATGACCTGTCTTTATCAGACACTTCTCTGTTCCTGACAGAACATCTCTTCCCAGGTAGCTAACAAAATGAGGAGATTTCTACCCTCTGTGCATTATGTAATGAGATACCTACTGGCCTGGCTCTTATGTATCAGAAGGTGTTCACTACTGCTACTTTCCTCCTCACACCTTTCATTCAGTGGTCACATTCACTATAGATGGTTGACTCAAGGCTTCAAAGAATAGTCAGTGGAATAGCAAAATGAAAGCCAATGACAATAACATATCCAATTAGCCATTTAGAATGTTTCCACACATGCCACACATCCTGGTTTCTACCTTCGAAGCTCAGTGAAGTCCAGGTCATTAGTCAACTCTTTGCCCACTTTAAAAAGTCTGGCAACAGGTGGTTCCTTCCCTGCATGACCACTGGCTGCCCTTAAGAACTTCTGGGTCATAGCTATGAGTTTGCCCGTCTTCTTTTGATCTCCCTGACACCTGCTGCACTTTAACCGAGTGAGAATCGTCTTTTCTGTTACAATCCATTCCTTCCACCTTCTAGAACTGCAGCTTTCTGAGTCTCCCAAAGCTAGCACACATTACTGATGTTTGTAACTAGACAGCCAAAGTTTCTTTCCCGAGAACTGGAGCCTTCTGCTCCTCCAGTCAGCCTGTGCCTTGGCTCCCTGCTCTCAGCTCCTAGCAGCATCACATGTGAGTTACTGAGGTCTTGGCCACTTCTTCCATCCTCAGGACCTCTCTGTAAAGTCTTCTGAGTGTTGGGTCAGAGGAAGATGATGGACCAGGAACGTGTTGTGCAGATCCATAGAAACATTCCGTCCTTTCAGACTGAGTTAGATCCTCATCCATGTCCTGCCCCATGGAAGGATGTTGTTGCCTGCTGCCAGGGGGGAGTCTGTGGGCCATGAGTGTGTGTGTGTGAGAGAGAGAGAGAGAGAGAGAGTACACGCATGAATGTGCACGAGAACGCACCCATAAACTGTCCCACCCTGTCACACATTGGGTCATGGAATTGGGGGGTTGGGAACAGGCCAACCTTACATATTCTTATGAGGATTTTAGAACTATGGCCACTTTTATCGTTCTGGAATAGCCACCTCTGACCCATTGCCAAGAGGGCAGTTTTTGACCTGATAGGCAAAGCAAACGAGGCAAAGTACATAAGCGTCATCAGTGCGAGCTCCAAGGAAAATGGAAGCGGAGCACATTGTGATGTGGGGTTAAAATGCAGTGATGTGGTGATGATTATGGTTTGTACCTGATGGACCAGGAAGGTGGAACTGAGCGAATGCAGTAGAGTGAGTTTTAAGAAAGGTAATAGGGGAGGGCATGTTGAAGTCAGGAGTTGGGAAGAAAAAAGAGAAAGGCCAGGAGCCCTACTGCCTCCCTGAAAATGAGGAAGCTCCTTGAACAAAGACTACAGGCTCTTTTTTCTGGGATCTTAGTGGCTCCCTGCTGGGAAAGGTAAGTGGCATTTAGGAGACTAGCTTTTGGTTTAAGTCTAGGACACCTGGAATAAAGCCCCCCGGGAAGCAGAATGCATATCATCACCACTCTTTGTCTCCAAACAGAAGAGAAGAGAGGTAGAGGGAGAGTGGCCAGGTGGACTTGGCTGAAACATCTTCAAGAACTCTCCTCTGGATGCCACATGAGGCTGCCCATCAGGCCCCACGCCGAGACAGGGATCACACAGCACACAGACATGAGTTTGCTCAGCAATATCCTAGCTACCTATTCCTTTGTCTCAGGTAAGTTCCTGGCATTGGCTGGGCCAGGGCTGAGAGCTGGGGCAGGGTCCCGGGCTGCTTCTCCGTCTTCTAGTAGGAGAGAATGCTATGTAATCACAGTAAGAGTTCTGCCCTGATGAATTTTGAGATAAAAGGGTCTTCTGGTTGGGAGTCAAGCTTGGCATTCTCTGGAATTTGGCAGATGAAGGGTTATGAGAGTTTTATCTTGATGGAAATGTTTGGTTTCTTTTCGGACAAGTGGGTGATTGAAGTAGCCTGGGGCTACTGGTGATGTCTGTCAGAGCTGATTGCAGACTATAGCTAGGTGATTTCTGAGTGGGTTTCCACCCCACACAGGTTGTGTGTGTGTGTGTGTGTGTGTGTGTGTACGTACTGTGTTCAGAGGCTATTTCTTTCTGGGAGAGATGGCCACAGAAGGTATGGGTAAGTCAGGGACAGTCTTGTATTTCCTTCTTCCTTGATTCAACGTTGACTACTAAGATAGTTGATTTTTTCCTCAAGATTATTTCTGAGGAAAAAAATGCTGTTCAGATCAAAGAAGCCTCTAAAATTTACATAGAAATCCACTATCTGCGTTGAATGCTCAACTTGCTCTTGTGCTGCTTGCGGGGGTTTTAAATTTTTGATAGTTTGCTTTTGTTCTGTTTTGTTCTGCCTGCTGTTTCTAGATAGAGTGTGGAAAGAAAGGGACTGCAGTTCTTATTTGATTTCCCATAGGGAAGGGATGTTTTTTGCTTTCTGATTTCTATGATTTCTTTTCCTTTGATGTTCAAACATAAAAGCTGGTATTTCTGTTTATCATGGACTGTTGAGCCAAAGTTGAGAATAAGGGAAGCTCATGACTTTGTTTGGTGAGGGGAACGTGGATGATATACAACCTGTTGGTTCTCAGGGATTATCCTGATTGAAAGGATGTAGTTCACATGCACAACCCATCCTGGGTTCTGTCTCAAAGCTCAGTGAAGTCCAGGCCATTGGTCAGCTCTTTAGCTCCCTTAAAACCTTCTGTGCCAGGTGGCTCCTTTCCTGCATACCCATACATCTGAGGAATTTCATTTCTGGTATTTCCTTGAGTCTCTTTTAGGGATAGTGGAGCTGAAGCTGCAATAGGGATGTTTGAAACTGGCATCTTGTCTTCTCAGGTGGTTGGATAATGGTTTCCTGACATCCTCCAAATAAAATGGAGGATAGGGGAGGGTCTGGAGGTTTGCAAGGTCTCAAAATATACCTGTACATCAGCAGTTGCAAGAGAATATTTCTGGCGAGAGCAAACAGAGTACTGGACTTTGGAGCTCTGCTCAGCACAGGAGGTCCCTGGCAATCGTCCATTTCAGTCAGCATGACCCTGGAATGTGACTACTGAATGTGGAACTCGTTGAATGGGCTGGTGTTTTACCAAGTGCCTTGTGAACTTGTCAGGGCTGAAAGGGTACATGGCCCTGTTTGTCTGTCCCCTCCTGCTTTCTGTCTTTCCATGCCATACTCTGGAATTAAAATGCTGCTAGGGATGTTGGAAGATAATGCTTCTTTTAAGTAAGTGTGGGCTGGGATGCAAAGAGTGTGCCAGGCAATGGGAAATAGAATGGCTAAAGTAACATTTTTTAGATCTGATTGAATATCAATGGTGAAATAGGGAATAGCCCTGATTTTAAAATAAACTAAATAATAAAGTTTAAACTAAGAAGGTGAAAATAATAGTTTCCAAGGAAAATACAGTAAATGGAGTAGCTAATGTTGCAAAGTATGACATTAGAAATTGTGGGAAATAGCCCAGTCATGTAGTTTTCTTATGATCTCATTTTGCTACATCTAGTCCAACTGTTGAAGAGTCTCTCGCCCCTTCTGTTTTCTCTCCATGCATTAATTGTGTGACGGTTCATCTTGGTTGTCCACTAGACTGGGTTGTCAACTGAAATGGATGAAACAAACTTCTGGTTCTGTTTTTAGGAGTGCTTCTAGAAAGGAGTGGCATGAACCTCTATGATCTAAGTGAGAAAAAGACTCATACTGCACATGGATGGGACCATCTGATAAGTTGGGGGCCTAGATAGAACAAAAATGTGGAAGAAAGCTCGTGTTTTTCTGTTGAAAGTTTGTGCTCAGGCATGCTCAATACTTCTTACGTAGGTGCACTTCTTGCTTCTGCCATTTCCTATGGACATCTTTGGCCTTTGAAGGTAGATTTGAACCAGGGATTTTTCAGGTCTTCAGTTTCTGACTGGCACTGCCTCCTGGCTCTACTAGTTCTGAGGCTTCCAGCCTCTTGGACTGGCTCTCTAGCCTGTGGATGGCCATTCTAGAACTGTCCAGATCTGATTTGTGTAGACAAATCTAATAAATTCCTTCTTATAATTATATGTGAACTTTATTGGTTCTGTTCCTCTGAGAATCTTGAGTAATACAAGTTGACTCTTGTCCTGTTGAAGTGGTCCATTGAGTTAGTAACAAATTTGCTAATACACAAAACTACCTTCTTCCTTTGTCCAGCTTTTCATTAAACCAGATTAAATCTTGACGTGTGTGTGTGTGTGTGTGTGTGTGTGTGTGTGTGTGTGTGTGTGTGTGTGTGTGTACTGTGTTTGGGAGCTGTCTGCGATATTTATCAACAATATTCTGGGAGAGAGGGAGCTAGAGGTATGTCTGGTCTTTGCCTCTTTCTTGATTCAAAGTTGATTTTCTGTTAAGATGGCTACCTTTCTCCTTGACGATTATTTCTGGAGGCCAGCTGCTGTTCATATCAAAAGAGCCATTACTGATACATGGAAATACTCTATGCTTTGAATACTCTATGCTTCTAACATGACTTTTTAATTTTTGATTGTTTTGTTTTGCTTAATATCTCTGGATATCTCTCTAGACAGACAATTAGACATGTGGCCACTTAAAAAAGGTGACTACTTTCCTTCTGCCACCAAGCTACCAGATTTAGTTGCATTTGCAGGTTGAAACCAGTAGAAACTCATGACTCCAATTTCAGTTGAGCCTTTCAAATAGTTCTGTAGTCTTTCTGTTTGCTTCTGGATACATTTTGTTTCCATTCTTCACAACAGCCATTTCAATCACAGACTTTTCCAGTAATGAACAATATTTACTTAGCAAGTACAACGGCTTGGGATCAATCCCCAGTACTGAAAAACAATGTAAACTTTTTTTCTTTTTTTTTTTACTTTTAAGAAAAAAAAGTGCAGAGGGAAAAAGAAAACTGGGAGAAAACAAGGGAAGAGGTGACACTAACTGTAACCCTTTTTTACAATAAAAGAAAATATATATCACATTAACTATGCATTGTTAAAGTTAACAAAATAACCACTTTTCCAAATTCCTAACAGAAAAATTAACAAAGGATAAAAAGTAACAGTTTGCAAAAGGAAGAAAACAAAATATCAAGGGAACAAAATAGTTTAAATTCTAGCAAATAAATTCAAGATGGAAATATAGAGAATATGTGTAGAGATGAGGACTTATATATATAATGTCAATGGAATTAGAAATGCTACAGCTTTTCAGGACAGTAATTTGGTAGTAAAGTGTGTGTGTGTGTGTGTGTGTGTGTGTGTGTGTGTGTGTGTGTGTGTGTAATATAGTAATCCATCCCACTGTTAAGAATTTGTCCCAAGCAGATAATTAGGGATGTAGAACTATTCTACATCCCTATAAAGAACTGTTTATATAGTGGAAAATGAGAAAATAGGGAATGTAAATTGAAATAGAAATATTAATGATGTCTTATTAAGTGAATAAAGCCTCCTGAGCACATTGAATACAATCTTAGTATTTGTGTACATTCATATATAAGTGTAACCATGTTTTGCTGCAATTTATATCTGAGTTCTCAGATTCTACAGGTGTGTTATCTATATTTTGTATTTTCCTTTGTTTATAAACCATTGCTTTGACTTTGTAATAAATGTGATTTATTGGAATATTGATTTTTATTTCTAACATGTACATTAAACAGTTACCATCTCTTTATCTTTTCTTAATTTGTGAGTTACACATTTCTAAGTGTGCTAGATGTGTTGTGAACTAGAATAGAATACTGTCCTCTTTAAATGTACTCTTTCTGTTGTGTAGCTGTGTAGGGCTGCTCACTGCCTCTTTCCAACTGGCTACGGTCGGGCTGTGAAACAGCCCATCAATGACATCCTCTCTGTTCCTTCTGGCACTGATGTAGTTGATGCTCATCATCCTGCTTGAATTGCCATCACGGCATTTTCCTTAGTCTTCCTGTCTCCACTCTTACTTCATAGTCCACATTTTGTAGCAAACTGTTCTTTCCAAAGATGCACCTGTGATGATGCCATTCTGATTTTTCAGAATCCCTCAATGCCCCTCAGTATCTCCGAGATAAAATCCAAACACTTTTGTATTATTTAACAGGATTTTTTTTTTCAGCTATGAATGGTAGAAGCTTTCAGGCCAATAGCCTAAAGCAAGCACTAGGAGTTAGTTTTCTTTCCATCCATATTTCCCCCAACATGGGTTTTATTTTCTTCTTTCTAAGCACTTGGATTTAGAGAGTTAACTTTTCTTATTTTAACCGTTTGCAAGCAAGCTATTAGAACCAGAACATAGCGCTTTATAATGTAGATAATACTCTCATTAATAATTATAGCCTCATGAATAACTTTGAATAGCGTCATTAGAAAGAGTAAATGGAGCTGCTACTCATTGTAATTGAATGATTTGAATATTAAATATGATCACCTGGATTAAGTTTTTCTTTAAAAATAAATCACCTTTGTGGTGAGTCTCATGCTTGTCAATCCATCTACCTGCTTATATCTAAAACTTCATCTCTGTTTCTCCTGTTTTCTCCCCATCCCCTTAACACCATATAATATACTTGGTTCATAATATATTTAGTTTGTTTATTACCTATCTGCCCTACTAGAAAACAAACTCCCAGGAGCAGAGAGATTGTTGTTTCTTTTATTAGCTACTGTACATCCTTAGCATATCTTCTGATAGTTCATAGAAGCTACCAGAGGCTTAGTAAA